TAGGAGAAAGAAAATTGTTCCTTGCAAAATAAAAGATAAAGAAAAGTGAAAAGAAAGAATATTTTGGGAAATGGCAACTAGTGGGGTGCAATTGACTAGTCTTCTTTTGTTGTTGTTGAGGAAATCCAACTAATGCATTTCATTCATTATTAAAATCTAGATACATATAGGAATATCATATAAAACTTGAGAATTAGCATTATATATGTTCATCTTTGTTAGAATGTCTTCACAAATGAAGAATGCAACTGGGAAATGAAAGATGAGAGTTGAGAGGAAACTCAAAAATATGTAGAAGAAGGAAATAAACCCTCTAAAATAAATTTGCCAAAATTATATACCAAATAATTAAATGAAATGTCAAATCTCATTTAAAAGTTCACAAAGTTTCTCAAATCTAAACACTACATATCTAGAGGTATAAGACATTTGAATATGGGCAAACCATGAACATCAGTCGTGGATCAATAATCAATTAATCAGAGAAACTCTAAGGGAGAAATGCTTTGTTCTTTCTCTTTACTTTTGGTCGTCGTTCACCTTTCCAACCTCCACAAATCTAAACCACCATGTAGCAGCATGTTGATGGTGAGCGCGCTCCTAGCAGCCTCATCACCCTTTAACCCCTTATGAGATGGTCATACGTTTTTTTAATTCGTGATGGACGCTTGAAGTTTTACCGATAACGGTCAGTAATAAATGAGGGACGATGGTTCTTCTTTAACGTGTTTGGGTCCTTCGACCACAAGCACGTCTGGTTGTTTTTAACCCTTGATCTTTTTTTGGAGCTGTAGATCTTTTTTCAGATTTATGGATTAGTGTGTTTTTTGCATTATGGGTTCATCTGGATCTCTGACTTGTTACATGTTTGTTCTATGATCTGTTGCATTCTGCAAGTTCAAGCCTGTTCAATTTTGCATCCACCTGGAGATTTCGGAATGGTTTGATCTGCCTTAATCCTTCGTTATTGAACAAGACTGGTTGGCTATAAATGACCTTAATTTTGTTATTGTTATTGCAGTGAATTGTTAGTATATGGTTTTGTTACCGTGTTGGTGGTCGATTTTATTATCCATTTTCTTAGTTCTGAGTCTTGGACTTGGCAATATACGTAACTTATTTTTTGCAATTCAATTTTGCTCCCTTATGTGGGTTTATTGGATTGTGCAAGTGATGTGAGATTCTTTGTTCAGGATTATGATTCTTGTTAACTCCACATTTTAATGGTTGTTATGTTTCGCCCTTTTGGGTTTTTGTATTTTCTATTGCACAGGGTTTTGGTTCATGTCTCTGGTGTGTTTGTACTTCTCAGTTTAGTTTAATCTACATTTGATTATTAAAAAAATGTCAAACCATGATGCCATCCCTACTAAAATCGAAAAGAGTCACCAATTATCATATCATAACTAAAGAAATAAACATTGGTCATCCTTGAAAGACACCAATAAAGTCCCTTAAGCATCTTCCGAAAAGAAGCATGTCAACAATAACTCTTTAAGACATTAAATTCCCTAAAATTCAACCATAACTTGATACATTCTCGACAAAATCAAATGCTTGAATAATGTCTTCTCAAGACCATCACCGCCATCTAAAAGTCAAAGAAAATCCTCCTAAAATTATCGTAGGATCTTAGTAAAAAAAAAACTACTATCATCTCTGCCTCTTGAAATATCATATTCAGATTATCCCTGCCTCTTCGATGAAGTCATCTTCTTAATGTCTAGGTCAAGATAAAATTCTCCTTAGATTATGTCCTCATTACTAAGAAGTAAGTCACCACACTTCATTCTATCATACTATTAACTTAGAGAAAATTCTTCTGGGTTAAGCCCAAGTTCAATCCATTAGAAAATAAGCCCGCAACTTACGACCTAAAGACCGACCTTCTTCATTACCCATAACACTTATTAAAAGACAAGGGCAGCACCAAAGGGCTAAACACAACGCATGAATGACCAAAAACAACATTTTGTTTCAAATACCTCTTACTCCTCCTATGTTCAGTGATTTAGATATCAGAGTGTTTGCGGGTACCACACTCTTTCCATCATCAATATATAGATTCATTGGCTCACTCAATGTCTTGAAAAGTCATTCATCTCGATGTATTTCACACCCTTCCTGGTTGCCACACACTTGTAAGTGTCTTCATTGTATTCGTACGTACATTGAGAAAACATCATATTAGACAGAAATCAAAGTTGATTAATCTTAATATCACTAAATATCACTAACTTCTTTTTTGAAGCACCGTGTTCTTCTTTAGCCAACTTTATGCTATCCATTCAAAGTTAATTCTTTGATGTACAAAACCAGGAAAAAAAAGTAAAACGAAGAAAAAAAAAACGTATTCTTCGTAACAAAAACAACAACCAAACCTTATCACATTATGTGAGATAAGTTACACGGATCAAATTGCTACATAATGTTATATAAAACAAATGTATCTATCCAACTCATTAATTTCAAAATCTTTATTAATAGTTTCTTTGTATTTTTCTAGGTCTTTTTATACCTTAAGCGGTTTGACCACCCTTCGTTTTACCTACTCTCCTTACAATATAATCCATAAGTCTTCTCTACGCACTACAAAACCATTTAAGTTTAGTTTCCACCATCTTGTTTACTTTAAGTATATTACCACAACACTTTCTCAAATATTTCTATTTTTAATATTATACCACTTATTCATATCAGACATCCAACACAACATCCTCATCTTAGTTACACTTAGTTTATTTTCATGTTGGTTCTTTACAACCCAACGTTTTATCTTGTGCAACATTGTTAGTCTTACAACTCTTCGATAAAATGTTCCCTTCAATTTAAGTGGTACTTTCATATCACATAAAACACACGAGACCCTTCTCCATTTCACACATCTAACTTAAGTTCAATGATTTACTTCTCCTTCCATTTTTCATCATTTTGTGCTATGGACTCAAGATACTTAAACCGTGTAACTTTTGGTATGATATGATGTCCAACTTCCATCTCTAAGTTAGAAACATTTATACTTTTATTAAACTAACATTCCATATACTCCTTCATGCTTCTACTTAGGCACAATCCATACACTTTTATGACACATCTCCAAGTCTCCAATCTCTCAAAGTAAGACTCTATCATCTAAAAAAAAACATACATCTTAATACTAACTCTTGAATGTATTTCATAAGTACATTAAAAAACTAAAGTAAAAAGGTATGAGCTTATGGTTGAACCTTGGTTCGATTCCATTGCTATGGTAAAATCACTTGTGTTTTCACTCTATGTCCTCACACTCGTCAACACCTCTTTATACATATCATTGATAACTCAAACATGTGTAACTCCAACCCCTTTCTTTTCTTCTCTAAGGTTATCTAGAAAGTCAAATCTCTATAGGAATTCTATCAGAAGCCTTCTTCAAGTCAATAAAAACTATTGCAAGTCTTATTGATCAATTCGATATTGCTTCATCACACGTTGTAGCAGATAGACCGCTTCCTTGATCCATTCAAATCATAAAACCAAGTTGATTATCAATAATTTGAGTATTTTTTCTTAATTCCCATTCACTCACTCTTTCTCATAACTTCGTGATATATCCTTTTGTCTTTATAAATTAAAATTAAAGTATTTATTCTCCATTTATCATTGACCTTATAATTTTGTTAAAAAATTATGAGCCACTCAATACCTCTACTCCAAGACTTTTTCATGCCTTAATAAATATTTATCAGTCTTACTACCTTGCTATTACTCATCATTTTCTATTTTCTATGCTTCTTTTACTTTATATTTTTGAATATGGTAGTGATAATTTCAATCCTCTTCTCGAATGTCTAGCATGTTAGATTCCTATAAGACCTCGTATCCTTTATTGAATAAATTGTGAAAATATTTCTTCCATCTATCTTTATATCCTTTTTCTAAACCAAAATTTTGTATTCTAAAAACAAAAAATGATAGAAAAGAAAGAAAATAGTCATTTTTATCGAGCAGTAAGGTTATCAATAATTACATAATCTCCCATTGTTTATAATGGTCAGCAGGGGTTTTATCATGCCACCCCAAACAATGTACAACATTGGGCCACTGAACAAACAAAAAGAGTGATTCTACATTTTGAATGTTGTATTTTCCCTCTTTGCATTTACATTTAAAGAGGGCATTGGAATTTTCTCATCCAAAAAGCGCAACAACAACGGTGACCCGGTCAGTTGGTGCTTTAAACCGAATGATACTGCGACTACTATATACAGGTTTGTCATCTGAGTCCATCTAGGGTACCTGACAAAACAATGCAAATTCCCAAACTCAGATAAACTGAAACAACATAAACAGTGAAATCATGGCACATGTTTTAAACGTCCCCATGCTATAAAGACCTTGGGGTGCAAATCTCAACAAAGGAATTTCACTTATTTTTGGTGAAACTTAGCCTGAAGGGGTCATAAATAAGTAAACTGTGACCAGTGGCTCGTGCGGTTTACACTGGTTTGCATCTGATTATTTAGTTCAATGGCCAGGTTGTAGATTGTTATGGTACAGTTACAGTACAATGGTTCAAAGTTAATAGATATAAATATGTGCTAAATTTTATTCAGAATATTTTAGTTATGATATTTATGGTTAATTTTACATTATAATTTTCTACCTCTTCTCAGTTTTAATAAAGCAAGGCATTTGGCTTTTAAGAAAAAACATTAAAAAATTTTGAGTTATCAAAGCACCAATTTGTCTCCTTTGTAAGCAAACACCAACATAACAAACATCTATTTATAGGATAGATCCATGAAACAACTGCAATTAAACCGTGGTAAGTTTTTGATTAGTCATATAGCGCGCTTAGGTTAAAATCTCAAAAACAGGTTACTTTTGGCCGTTAAACTTGACCAACTTTGTACACTAAAGAGCATACTATGTAAAAGTTCAAAGCAGCAGGTAATAATTTAGTTAAGCATACCATTCTTTGTAAGATATTTTCTGCGGAACTCTATTGCTTTCCCATACTAATTCCCTTTTGGTGCCTCATCCTGACAACGACAACGTATGACAAGCACATTAATCATAGAGCCAATATATGTGTAAAATTTCCATTCTAATTCAATCAAGAAAAAAAAACAGCACAGTATATACCTTGGTTGAAAACTGGTCTCTAATATTGTGCATGGCTTTTAACATCATCTCTAGAGAATCTGTAGCCAACTGGAACTTCACGTCCAGCTCTCCCGAGTGAAATTGAGCTTCATTTTGCAGCTGAAAAGGTTGCAGTTAAAAATATACAAACAGATCATAAAACCATATCTAATCATTTAACACACAATGCATATCTACATAATCTGCACATCTGATACATCTCATTTGCTTTAAGAACAGAAAATACACTACAAAAAGTTACTGAAGGAAAGCACCACTACCCCCTCTACTGAAGTTCAAGAGGCAGTGTTTACCTTCAAATTAATAACAGCTGCAGGATCTGACACTTCTGTACCCTGATTTGCCATATTCCATGTCATTGCCTTTAATTGAGGCACAATATTCTGAATACTTGTACTCTAAATATAGTGTCAGATCAAAGCCTCTTCGGAGGTTTTATCAGAAGCAAAATGTGCAGTAAAATAGATGAGGATACCTGATCTTTCAACATGTCATCTTGCCACTCTCGCTGAAACTTCTGCAACATCAGTGTCAATAGTTTTCGCAATTCAGGTAGAACTTCACCAGGAAACAACTTTGGAATATCATCCTTATAGGTATTTTCATAAATGTATCTCCTGATTAACATTCTGAGGCAAACCAGAAGCTGTAGATAGGGTTATAACGATAATCTGTACCAGAAGAATTCAGAAACCATCTAAGCATATCATAAGGGGACTTACTGGATCGAGGTCAGAGTCATTTTCCAGTTGGAGTATATCTTGGATGATGCATCTGTCAGAAGATTGAAGACCGGTTTTTCTGGTTCTCCATAGGGTTTGAAGAATGAATTCAATAGAGTCTTTGGAATTGGCTCTTAACAATACTGGCAAGTGGCCCCACAGCGTTTGCTCCATACTGGCAAAAGAATAAGAAGATACTGGATCATCTGAAAAAGTCTAGAGAGAGAGACGGAGAGAGATATTATACCTAATCTAATATTTGAAATTACGATTTAATCCCTACAAAAACATTCAAAACGACGCGCGATGTATTCGATTTAACTCTGTTACGATTTTCTCTGAGACTTGGACTGTGCTTAGCGAAATTGAATTGAGAAATCCATGGCGCCGCACGATCTCCGCCGTCCGTTCAAACGGCCATTGATCTCCGATCAAGAGAGGCGCAGACAACAGTCTTTACTCCGCCAGGCACAGAATCGCCTTGACGCTCAGCGTCAGGCTCGCTTCTTAGCCTCCACCGCATTCTCTCTCTCATCCCAAACCCCTGAACCTGAACCAGAACAACAACCCGAACCTGTGAACGAACCAGAGCCATATCAGAAAGAGGAGCTCGACGTGTTGGAGGCATCGAAGCTGAAAGGCGCAGAAGCTCGGAAATGGTTCGCGAAGCAACTCATGCTTCCTGAATGGATGATTGATATCCCTGAAAACCTCGCCGATGATTGGTCCTTTTCTTTTCTCAAAATCTTAAACTTGTTCTTCGCTCAAATTCAGTTTTGAATTTTGAATTTTTTGATTTTTTAATTTTTGATTTTCAGGTTTGTTTTTGCAAGGCCCTCTGGAAAACGGTGTTTTGTAGTTTCTAGTAACGGAACAACTATAAGCCGTTTGAGAAATGGTTCAATACTTCATCGTTTTCCTTCTAAATTGCCCAACGGGGCAAGGACAAAAGAAGTTTCATCTGCTTCTAATTCTTACTCTATACTTGACTGCATTTTCCACGAGGTTACTACTTTTCCTTCCTCATTGTCATGTTCTTTTTGTTAATTAGAAGTTTGTGTTTGAGTTTCATTGCATGATTAGTATCATGTAGGCTTACCGAAGTCAGGGTGACACCGTGATTTTGTGGTAGAAGTTATTTGTTTGGTAACTAGTTTGTGTTTTTTTTTTTTTTTGGAATAACAGCAAGATCAAACTTACTACGTTATTGATATGGTTTGTTGGCGTGGCTACTCCCTTTATGATTGTACTTCTGAGTTCAGGTTCTTTTGGGTGAACTCCAAGCTTGCTGAGACCGGTGCTTGTGACTCTCCTTCATATTATCATAAGTATACGTTCAGTTTAGTTCCGGTGTATGGTTGTGATCAGAGCGGTTTGTGTTCAGCTTATTCTGCTCCTGTGCCTTATGTTAAAGACGGTCTTCTATTCTATAACAAGTATTAATCCTTTTCTCTTTCATTGTAAACCAATATGTGAATGCTATTCCAATCTTTTGAAATTATAATCACCCAAATCTGTTCATGGGTAGCTTTGCATTATTGTTGAGAATGAAAATCTTGTCACCTAGTATTCTTAATCTTTCAGAATTATCATGTGATAAATATTTTATCCCTTTTTATTTTGTCAGGATCTTATTTTGGGTAATTTCTTTTGATTTGTTGTTATTATATTATTTTTTTTCCCATAGGCATGCACATTACCAGGCTGGGAATACACCATTAGCATTAGTTTGGAAGGATGAGAACTGCAGTCAATATGTTATGGATACTGACAGTCAAGGACAGGTTCCTAATCAACAACAGGTTTTTCCCCATGATTCCTTTGCATTTTCTCTTTGTTTTGTTTTTCATGCCATTTTATCATTGTATATTTCAATCTTATAATTTTGTAGATTTCTAGACCTTGTTGATTGAACACTGCGTCATGTACTAATCGTAGAGAATAAGACTCCCTTGTCAGACATTTTATGCATCAACTTTACTTTATGTTCATTGAATTGAACTATTTCTTCCTCTAAGAATACCAATCAATTAGGATTCTATGGCTGCACACCAATTCCATTTTCATTATTAATTACTGAAACATTACCTTGTTTTTTGTTTGATTTCTTGTTTTTGTATATAAAACAAAATAAAAACAATGTGGAAATTTTGTTATGAAAAGTGATAATAAGAAATGGAAACAAAAATTATTTTCTCAAACTGAACCGACCCTTAGAAGTTAGATCTAATATGCAGTTGACCACCTCCAAACCTACCCTTCAATGGAAAAAGCCAGGTGGACTTGTCTCCCCTCTGTGTGTGGGTGTGTGGCTCATTACAGCTATAAAGAGACCCCAAGTCCACAAGATTATTCATGTTTCAATTACTTCCATATATTTATACATTTATTACTCGAGCATTACAGATACGCTGCTATACCGATGTTTATTAATTGGTTTTCTGGATTTCCAAACCAGATGGTTTTGGAGCTTCAAGATGATGGAAAACTCACTACTTGCGATGATCCTCATGTGGTATTTGGCTGTTTGGACGGAAGCTTCATCCAGCAGGTTTGTTTGAAAAAGGTTCCTATACAATTGTTAATTTTATTCTGATGCTTAATCTAGTTATGAGGATCACACAATCAAAACTTTACACCGCATATATATTGAAGGTGTATTGAGTCCCATGCTGCCAAAGTTCTTGGGCTGTTGGATGTATATATGTGTTTGGGCAGGCAACCTCATCTTAGGAGCTAGCTTTTGAAAGTGAGATCCAAGACTATTTAACTGTATAATTATATTCTAGGAAATTGATGTATTTATCTGAGAAATAGTAATTCTTGCTGGGATGTATGATAAACTCTTAGTTATGAAATGCAACAATAAACAAGTTTGCATCTTATGCATCAAACTCACTTTTTTATTTTATGTTTTATGAAATAATCTAAAGTGACTTTCTCAATTTGCAGTCAGATTTGCATTCAGGGTACCTTCTACGGTTTGCAATTGGAGAAGGGGGATTGGTTTTGGTGGACGGGAAACTTGAGAAGGCTGATCTAAAGTATCTTGGCAAGGCCAATCGAGCTCGTGCCTCTGCTGATAGTTTCTCTAAGGTTGTAAGGGAATATTAAAGTAAACCCTAAAAGTATTTGCAACATGTTAACACAAGTTTGCTATGATGCCTTTATTTTTCACGGCTTCATGCTAAATTTTAGCTAGAAGCCTTAAAAGAAAATGAGAGTTTCCTGAGAATGATAATTAGAATTTATCTTCCTTATTCATTTTGCTAATATTTAAATGCCAAGGAGACTGCATATTTGTTTTGTTTTGAATCTGATTTACTGTTTGTCTGAAGAAAACTTCCTAGAACCATCATAGATTCACACTGTTTTCTTCAATAATCATCATTGGTGGTTTTCATTATAATCATGCTGCAGTTTTGCACTTACAGGTTATGTTCCAATATAGTGTTCGACACTCCCCCCTCAGAATTGATGATTTGTTGGCATCTGTTAGCTCACCAGTAGATCAAGAAAGTAAAGCATGTGACATTGAGATGGATGGTTGATATGAAATGCTCGACGGATTGCAAATGTCAGTCTTTATCCTGAATGCAATGTTTGAAGTTACCACCTTAATGTGTGGCTTTCTCTGACGCGTATCCCATGAAGCCTTCCATAATTTATAGAGGATCCAAGAAATTGTTAGCCACCAGTCTACCACACATACTGAGATAGAGCTGTATCGATTGAAGTTGTGTTTTGCCTCCGGAGTTTCTTTAACCCATATGAAGAGCAGGTGCACACATGCACATTATTTATCTTGTGTCTGGTTTTGTGTAATGCTGATAGCATGATAGTGTGACTGTTTTATTTTTGCAATTGCGAGCAATTTAGTATACAGTGTATTGCACATTATTGTAAATTCAAAGTCATATGTCCTAAGTTATGTGCTAGATTTCCTTTTTCTTTCAATAAAGAATCGTTGCTTCTTTAAAATGATTCTGTGACTAATACATACTTTATTGGTGCATTTCTTAAATTCTTTTGGAATATTTCTACCTTGCACTTTTCCATTGTTTTCACAATAACTAAAGCCAATTTATGAAATTTGATGTCTTTATCATAACTAATAAGTTGTATTTTCATGTTAATATTGTTAAAATCAAAGAATAAAATCCTAATATTTACTATTAAGATTAGAATTTATTATGAGGACTTTTTTTGGACTAATTTATTTATTATTAGGATTAGAGTTAGCAAATCATGTCAATCAGTATATATTCCATATGCTATTATAGATAAAGGTGAATATACTAAGTTTGATTTGATCCTTCTTGAACTGTCTTGCCACTATTTTGCTATGGAGTTCTAAAAATGGTTGGGAATATAAATAGTTTTCTCTTTATTGATCATGGTTCGAAATCACAGCTCTGTGTTTAGGTTTGTCCACCGTCAAGGCTAACCCTAGTTTATTTTCAGTTTGACTGCAGGGCGTCCAACAGAAACCAGTCTGGTCCCAAGGCTAACTCTAGTTCTTTTTCTTTAGGTTCACCCACCGTCAAGGCTAACCCTAGTTTATTTTTCAGTTTGACTGCTGGGCGTCCAACAGATACCATAGTCTGGTCCTAATACCCGAGTCGTCATAGTCTCACACGTAGCTGTCCCGTTAACTGTCCAACATGCACAAACCTATGTGTCACGAAGACCTCACCATTAGATTCGCCAGTCAGATCAACCAACCGAAGTGTCACCACCATCAACTGCTATCCCACACAGGCTCCCATGCCTCTAACAACTTCCACATTTTCACCCCATGCCGCCGTCAACGACTGCATGTGTTGGCATGCACGGCAGCCTTACAACATGGTTTTTCGGTGGCTTGTGTTGGTTTTCCGTCCTGGTTCTGTCTCTAGTTATCAATTCCTGGGCATAAGATCATAGGTTTCTGTTAAAACAACTCGTTTGTTTCTCATTTTAGACCCATTTTCTCTCTCCATTCATTGATCATGGCTTCATTGCTGCTTTTTTTTTGGCTCGATCTAATGTCAACAACACTGTTATGCCGTTTGGATCTCTCTGTGGAGGTGCATTTCACATCTTGTTTACTGTTGGTTTGTTTTTGTATTTTGGGCATAATGCAACTATTCTACATGTTTTTTGGTGCTCCGTTTATGATTTTTTATTAGTGCAAATTTTCTTTTGGTCTGATTTTGCTTATCTTTTAATTCAAATTTGTTTGTTGATAATTTATCTAAGTTACTCTTGTCACAATGTGTTTTTTTACGTTGTTCCAATTTGATATCTAATGGTAGGCTCCTAGTCATTGGTCTTATCACGCTGTCTCTAGTAATCCCTTCGACTCACCAAAGTCAAGGATGAGTTGTTGGCATCACTCATAGTTTTTCTTTTTGAGAGTCCCATTGTCCATCTATCGTCAATGTTGAGTTATCAACACGGATCATACTTAAGCTAGTTGTTTCAAGCAAAGGACAACATCTGACCAAATATCATCACAACTTTGTTTGGATGCATTTCATGAAAGCTTTTAAAGGGTACATTTGTGACCAGCTTAAAGCTTAGTAAGCTTTAGCTTGAGATAGAATGTTAGAATCAAATTCTAATATTTATTATTAAGATTATAATTTATTATTAGATTTAGTAAATCATATCAATCAATATTTATTTTGTATTTCTTTTACATACTGTTAGAAATGGAGGTGAGTGTAGTCTAATTTAGACGCACAAAATTATATATTCAACAAATATTATAATTTTACAGTCATAACTGCTTGATCTTGTAAATTTTAGAATTTGCATTATATTTCTACAAGTGTTGGTGTAGTTTATGTATTTTGTTTCTATATTTGTGCTTCATGAATCTTGCATGATGTATAGAGATTAGAGATTGAACATGATAACTGTTATTTATTTCATAAATGTTTTATTTCAAGACCTTATCCGGTCTACATGTAGACAAATTTATTCAGGCTGCCAAGGTGGTTTTCTCACAACCATCGTGCACACAGGCCAAGACATCTCTATAGTCCCTGGAAATGGTAAAAGAGTCGTAGACCTTTCCATCACTACTTTTCTTGTACTCAAACAAGAGATATGAGTGATTGAATGCTGTCAGTTTGCCAAAACCGTAGTCTCTATCCCTGAAAAGACTCCAAACAGGGGGTGCTGTGGTGAAGTCTGACAAGTGACTTCCCCCTCCACCAACAACCACATGAATTGTTCCATTCACAGTGCCAGAGTAATGAGATTTTTCCTTATTCACACATTGGTTCTGATAAATGGGGCATACTCTTTCATAGTTATGTACATGACCATAAAATGCAATGTCTACTTTGTACTTTTGCCAAAGCCCCTGCAAACTTTCCCTTCCCATGGGCTCTTCAAATGAGCCCTCCTTGGCATACCAAGCATTAGAGGAGTAACCGAGGGGACGATGTGCCGAAAAGATTAACCATGGTTGTTGTTTTCTATCTACTGTTGCAAGGCAATGCTCAATAAATTTGTATTGTTCTGATCCTTCTGTCCAGTCATGCTCACTGTCCGCTATACAGAAACGAAACATTCCATAATCTGTTGCATACCTGCATATTTTCAATTTTCATCATTAATTTGAAATGGAAAAATAGTACATTCTAGTTGTATGTTTATTTTTCACTTGCAGGAACTAGAATCTGCATCATGAACTGTGTAAGGATGAAAAGACATCTTTTGCAGATATCACTATAAAAAAAAAGGTTTTGTCACAATGGGTCAGGATTATATTCACTATCTTTGACATAGGGGTGATAGATTCAATTAAAAGAAGAAAAATCTGATACTAAAGCTAAATGTGTCATGGTTTGCATTTAGATTAATATAACTTACCAGAATTTGGCTTTGTTCTCAGCAGGGTAATAGTACATGGTTTCTGCAGGAACTCCGCATTCGCCACCTGAATCCCGAGTGTCAAAGAAGGATCCTGTGTTTGGCCAATCACGTTCATGATTTCCACTGCAATATGAATAAATGTGATATCCTTTCAGTCTAAAAGAATATGTATAACTCAATTCAAATGTCAATGTCATAAAATGATTGCAAGCACAAACAAACCTTGCTATCATATATGGAACTGTCGAAGAAATTTCTTGCACTTGAGCTGTGAATTGGTCCCACTGTGAGATGTATCCATTTGCATATGGAAGATCTCCTATGTGGAAAACAATGTCAAAGTTGTCTAAATCCTTGATGAGCTGGTCTGTGGTGTTAAGTGAACCAGGTTGGTAATTAGCATATTCATTTGAACCATCACGCTCAGCCTAAAAGACATTTGGAAGAAAATTAGTAGTTTCCCTATAAACCATAAATAATCAAAAGTTAGAAAGGTCTCATTCTTTCAAAATCTATAAACCTTAAATAATCAGTGCTACCTTTCCCATGTCACCAAATATGATGACACGTTGCAATGAGTTCTGGCCAGGATACGGCGATGCCTTGAACGAGTATCTCTTACTCCATATATAAGAACCATCGGACAAGAAATGCCCCAACCTGTAAGTGTACCTGGGGGAGAACAGGGGAGGTTGCCAACCTTTCAGACCAAACTCTACCAACACAATCTTACATGAACAATAAAAATAGTTGAATGGATACCTCATATTTGGCCAAAGTTCTTTAAGGAAACTCGTGTGTATAAAACCAGGATCACGCCAGCCAACAGTTCGTGCTGGTTCACCTATAGATCAAGAAATGTCCTCGTTATTTGTTTAGATTCATTTATGTTAAAGTTTCATGTATAAACTTGTTTATGTAATAATCCTTACCACACATGCTGTTACGATTAAATGTCAATGTTCCTGCAGCAGATTGCACCTGTCTTCCGCCCTTTGGACCCCATTCCACAAAGGGTACAGCTTCATCTATGTCATATCCACTTGTCCAGGTAACTGTCATCTGTCATCGATTAAAATATTTAGAATGATTGGTAAAAAAGTAATATCCTGTCGACAGATTCATTTAAAACTAATATTTTACTATGGCATGAACTATGAACCAGTGTCTGATTAGGATAAGTTATATTAGTGGTATATAATTAAACTTACTTCATTCCAAGACTTCCCTTGAGCAAGGCGTGGATACACAGGTGCTTTAGGATTTGCAAACGCGATGAAGTTCGAAACTGCCACAATTTTAGGCTGCAATGCTCAATCATATTAGTACTTGTTAACAAAAGTTGAAAAACAATTATTCCATACTAACTGCTTCATCTAAGCGAAGAAGAAATAAAACATTAACATTGCAAATTTAGCAACAGAAAAAAAAAATTATATATGGTCTTACATTGGACAGTCCACCTGAAAATAGTGCAAAGGAGAAATCTGCACGTTGATTGATCAGCTGGAACTTCAAAGTAGCTTTTCCTGTCTTTTTATATTTAGGATTGGAGTCGTTGGCATACTTATACTGTTACAAATTATAGTCAAATTATTAGTATTAAGAAACATGAGAAATTCATGATTGTTTTGTTGTTCATTCGTATGCAAGTTATATGAGATGAGTTGCATTTACCTTTATTGGGGCTGAGCATATATATGGAGTCTCTTCTTTGCCGGTGCCACCGGGGATTGGTGGACATGTTGATAAACTGATATGAAAAATATATTTACTTTAGTTCATTTTTCAGAATAATATATGTTTCATAGTTTATAAAAGAGAATACTAATTAATATATGAGAGATAGAGAGTTGAATGTACGTTACTTTAAGTTTCCAGGAGAAAAAACTCCAACCCAATCATCAATGGCAGGTTCAGGGGACTCAAGTTCTACTGTCACCCATTCTGTATCCTCCTCCTGCAATAATAATACAGGAATACACATGTTAATTTTAAATAAAAAACAAATATATGAATCAAATTACTTTTCAATTTTGGAATTCTAAATAATAAATTAAATCAAATTAGTGTTAAAGCATAATAAAATTTTAAAAAATGTCCAATATTAAAGTGTTATTTGACGTGTCTGATATCCTTTTGAGAAAATCTTCTAAATTAATTTTTAGTTTTTGAAATCCATACGAAATCATATTCTGGTATTTAATATTTTTCTAATATATTTTAATTATTTATTGATTTTAGTATTATTTATTAGTTTAATTTTTTACTATTACATTGACTTTAAATATAACCAATAATTGATTTCCCATAATATTAATTTTTAATATATTATATGTTATACGGGCCTTTACAATATTAATTTTAAAACAAAAAGTTAAAATTTTAAGTCAATAGTATGTTATAGTAATGTATTAAAATTGATTTTATACTACCTTATTTCCAAGCAGAAATGGGGAAGCTGTAATGGAAGCAGAAGTGTGGAGAGCAAGAATGGTTTTGTGAATGGCAATCTTGGACAATGGCTGCTCTCCAATATCACCTAAACCCATCCTCAACTTCATGAAGAAGAAGCAAAATGTTGCTAAAATCATCTTTAACTTGAAACAGTTATTACCGGCACCACCTTCCATTTTTCAAAGTTCTCTCTCAATATGCAGTTAAGAAAAGAGGCTCTTGATTTTTATAATTATGGGAGGGAAGGAATATATATATATAGAAAAACTTGGTAACCATAGGGATAACGGGATTGATATCAATTAATAATGGTCCACACTCCACATTCACTATATAAAAACTAATTGGGATTGATGCAAATAGTTGAAGTTTCTCTTCACGTACCATGATTGTTGATCGATAGTTTGTTGCATTCAAGCATTCAGAATAACTATAGTCGTTGGATTGAAATTGAATGGCCAAGATTTTAAATTTGCTATTTTTATTTAAAACAAATTAAAATTTGTCTTATTTTATCCAATGGCTATGTCAATGCGTGAATGAGATAAAAATATGATTACATATAATTCGATTTATTTGTTCACAAGCTATAAAATTTGAGTTTAATTATAAGTTGTTTACCTTTCACCCTAATTCTAGTATTAATAAAATAGAGAATTTCTTAATAAATCTTATGGATTATTAGGTATTATGTGAAAATGTAAAATATTTTTAAAATTTAAAGATGAATCTTCGGACGTATTCTAAATCAATAGAAGTTTGATTTAATTAGAAAAACTATAGAAATGCATCTCAGAGTGTTGTTTGTACATAATGCGGCAGAACACTTTTTCCTCACTTTTTAAAAAAACAAATTTTTTTCTAAAAATTTTTCAAAATCACACTGTCTCAAAATCAATCAAGCAACACCAAAGTTTCTTCAATCAACACCAACTACATCAAAGAGCTCATTCAACTACACCAACTTCAAAGATTTCTCACTTCTTATAAAAATGAAAGTTGCAGGAAAATCTAGAGATGAATCTCCATATTTTTTCATTTGGATTCCCAGGAACCGGAGATACATCTTCGTATTTTATTTGTCTATATTTTTTTTTTCTTGCTTGTAGGGTTGCTTGTAGTAATTGTGTGACACTTGTTTGATTTATTTACATGAATTATGGCTGATATAAATGACAGATTTAGGCACGACAGGATTGCACAACATGCATCTGTCAGAAGGGAAAAGAGTCATGTTTCACAGGCTCTTGTTCCCTCACACTCGATTGATGTGGAGGCGTCGACTTCTAGGGCTCATATATCTCCATCTTCTTTTTTCTGTGGGAGACAGGTGTTACCTAGTGACGTATCAATGCCTCCATTTTCCCGTAGGCGACATGTTTCACCTACTCAGACAGCAGAGGTACTCGAGTCACTAGAGGTACCTCAGTCATTAGAGTTGTCAGTGCTGGATCTTTACCCGAACAATACTGCTAGACATATCTGGGATGAAGACGTAAAATTAGTTGGATTCAATCTTTTTAAATTACGTTTATTATTATATTATATGTTTGTGACGATGATTTATTTTTCTACAGAGCCGTGATCCGCTCAAATTTATTAACCATGGGCGGAAGATTACTAGCTTGCATTAGCCTACTGACAAGTGGTTTCAGGCTGCTTTACAGATATTTGAGATGAAGGATTTATGTAAAGACTGTAATGTTCTGTATAATATATATTTAGAATAATACCATACAAATATTAATATCTAATACTAACACCATCATAAATTCCTATTTGCATAATTTACATACTTGACAATTTCTACAGATACATAAAAGACGATCTATGGTACAAGATATAGAAAGTGCTAAAACAATAAAAAAAAATCAGATCGAAGTACAATATCCATCATTGTACAAGATACACAATACACAATGCACAACAGAATAAGCATAATCTAGGTTTCTCTTTAAACATCCGAGCAAAGCTCCACATGTAAACTAAACTTGCAAACAATACCTGAAAAACATCAACAATAATGGGGTGAGATAATAATCTCAGTGAGTTCCCCTATCTTATGACTTCACTCACCTCTACAAAGTTCTAGCCAATTTCTATCTCAAGTCAAAAAGAGAAAGGGATAAGACTTGAGTTCACTTAATTTGCAGTGTATTGAAGCATGTCTCTTGAGTCCACCAACTCAAACAATCACTAGTTCAAAAACCACATCAAGACATCTTTCCCCGGCTAACCCTATGTCTAGAGTTATCTACACGGGTCACAAATCATTGTATTATAGATATCTTTCCCCGACTAACCCACATAAGAGTTCTCGACACGGTTCACAGATATCTAACTCATAGATAACTTTTCCCGGCCAACCCACACAAGAGTTCTCGATACGGGTCACACATACCTATCTAATCAGTAACTTTCTCCGGCTAACCCACACAAGAGTTCTCGACACGGATCATAGATACTTATTAGTGAAAAATAGTACGAATATTTCGGAGGAGATCTCTATATAGGCCTCCACTCTCAGAACGACACATCTCTCAAAAATTTGGTTCCGACTATGTGATAAAGCATAACATAACTTCAAATGGATTCAAATTCTAAGGGATAACATCAACCTTACAAATCGTCGCTTCCTATGGGAACACCCCCATCTCAAGCCTTTTACTTGTATGTTCCATTCGCTTATGTAATCACTAAGGATATAATGATTGTATTCGACAATCACAAGGCATCACATTCACCTTAACCATAAACAACACAACCATACATATTCCATACAAGGCTCTCCTCATAACTAGACAACTACTTGTCAATGATACACACCTAAGTATCCTTGCACAAGCATTGCCATCTATGTTATTCAACATGACCTAATCATCTTACTAATTCATTTCATTAGTTAACATCAAGGGTTTTCTTACCATTCTTATAATCTTTTAAGTATGTTATTACACAATCACTTTCATGTATATCATGCATAAACACATACAATAAAATAGCATAATACCTCAAGCATAAACATCTCATGAAAGGCGTAAAATCACTATTTCTCTACCGACATTCTCGGTTAATTCGTGATCACATGATAGATATGTATTTCATATTCAAGCCCCTCACCAAATATTTAACCAATCATATAGTGCTCAATACAACACTAGGTGTCCATCTTCTCATATTCACATAATATTCCACATTCTTAAATTCAATTATATCCTATCAAACCACTGTAGAGCCTTGGAATAGCTTTCCACATTCTTAAATTCACCTATTCACATAATATTCCACATTCTTTTTATCATGTAGAGCATTGTAATAGCTTTTCAACTCTTTCGATCGTGCCTCGATCCGAGTTACGGTTCAAAAGTTAAAAGAAACAAAACAGGAAAAATTACAGGGTTCGCAGTGCGAAGCCTGGGCGAGGTCCTTCGCTTTGAGTTTGCTGTGCGAACTTTGGGAAAAGCTGGAAAAAATATGGCAGTGGAAAAATCCTTCTCTGCTCGTTGTGCGAAGGCCAGGCGAATGTTCCCCTTCACTTCCCTGCTAGCTCACAGTGCGAGTGTAGCGGCTGATACGTTCGCTTGGGGTTCGCAGTGCGAGCTATGCGTTTTCTAGAATTCCCAGCAGCGTGTGAATAGTTGTGACCATGGACAAAAACCCCAAACTCCAATACGCAATGTTCACAGTACACATCCAAACACCATAGGAACATATATTAGCATGAAATTCATCAAAATTATCATGTAAACAACATTTCAATCCCATTTAGCATGCTTTCACACAAAACCTATCCCACCAATATTTTCATTTTCTTCCCCCAATGCTATACTAGCTAATGGAACTCACTTCATTGAAGAAGAAGATGGATTGATGATGAAGATGATGAATCCAAGAGCTTTTCTTTCCCTTCCACAAGCTCTTCTTCTTCTCTTCCATTTTTCTCTTATTCTTCTTTTCCTCTTCTCTTACCAACTTTCTCTTTTCTTTCTATTCTTTTCCACCGAATATATATATATATATATATATATATATATATATATATATATATATATATATATATATATATATATATATATATATATATATATATATATATATATATATATATATATATATATATATATATATATATATATATATATATATATATATATATATATATATATATATATATATATATATATATATATATATATATATATATATATATATATATATATATATATATATATATATATATATATATATATATATATATATATATATATATATATATATATATATATATATATATATATATATATATATATATATATATATATATCATCCAATGGTATAAAATATCCCCAATTGATATTTTGTCATCTAACACCAATTGACCAAATATTAGATTTACCAAAATATGCTTTCTTACAATTACTAATATTGGTATGTCTCTTTTTATTAATAATTTATCTCTTCAGAGTTCACTATTTACTCTATTGATCCCAACTGATGACACTTAGAGCATTTAAGAAAACATGGGATTTACAAAGACTAATTATGCTACAGTGAACCATGGGATGCTTAATGTATTTGTAAAGAGATGACATATTGAGACCTCATCATTTCATCTACCACTTGGAAGACAATAGTTTTGTATCTTAAAGTAAGTATGCAAAGAGCATAGTGAAGAAATTTGGTCTTGACAAGGCTAGTCATAAGAGATCTCGAGCTGCAACTCATGTGAAGTTATCAAAAGATAAAATAGAGTTGATGTATATCAAAGTGTCTGCAGAAATACGATAAAAAGTACGTTGTATCTCACAACAAGCATATCTAAATCAAGTGAAGAAAATCATGAAGTACATAAGTGGAATTTGTGACTATGGTATTCTATATTCTTATGATGCCAATTCAATATTGGTAGGGTATTGTGATGCAGATTGAGATGTGAGTACTGATGATAGAAAGATCACATCATGGATGTTTCTTTCTTGGCAACAATTTAATCTCATGGTTCAAGAAGAAGCAGAATTATGTCTCATTATCTACTATAGAAGCTGAGTACATTGCTGCAGGGAGCAAGTTACACCCAACTGCTTTGGATGAAACAAATGTTGAAAGAGTAAATGCCAAACAAGATGTCATGACATTATACTGTGACAACTTGAGTGCTATTAATATTTCTAAGAAT